CGTCTTTCATCAGTGATGAGAGCAGAAGAAGAGACTACTTTTAAGTGAGAAGAGAGAGGAGCCCATTGCTCCGAGCAAGTGGCTGGGCCGGCTGTTGCTCAGAGGGCTGACTGCACGGGGCCTGCAGGTGCTGCTCCCAGGACTGGGAGCCGCACTGGAGTGGCAGGCAGGAAGTGGGACGGGTGTGCGGGGCGTGGCCACCGTGGAAGGCCGCTCACTTGTTGTTACTGTGAATGTGCACATGGCCAGTACCAGGAGGTTCTCGGCGCGACCGCGGCCCGGCCACTGGCTGCAGGGATGACTCCGGCTAGGGCAGCTCGTTGGGCACCACTGCAAGCACCGGGGTCTCCTTAGTTTGCACTTTAGTAAATTGAGTAGGGGGTCTCCTTTGGGGTTTTTTTCCAAGACTCCCAGAAAGAAGGCCTCGTTTCCCCAGATGCTTCCATGGGCCTCGATTTGGTGATTAATTTATAGCAAAATACTGGCTCGTTAGTTGTTTTCCTGCCCAGCACCATGTGCTAAACAACAGGTGATGGTGATGCACATACCACTAAGGTCTGGAGATGCTGTAGGCTATTGTACAATATTTTAATACGTTTCCAGGTCTTCTTGTGCTGCAGTCTCCAAGCCAACCCCCAGAATGAGAAATGGAAACGTGTGCGGCCCAGCCCACCGCGCCAGTTTGGTTTTTTAGTCAAGGTGACACCTAGAGTGAAGGTTACTTCTTCCCTTTGCAGTGAAAGCTCACTTTTTCAAACAAGCTGGGCCGGGGCAAAATGACTTCCATTTGGTTTTAGTTAGAGGCACACAGCTGCCCTGCAGAGAGGCCCAGCGAGCCGCAGCCGGGCAGGGGCTGAGCGGAGGCCCGAGGAAGAGCGAGAGGTGCAGGCGGCGGGGTGCTCTTCATCCCTGCGCACATGGCGTGGTGCCTGGGTGTCTGACCTTCGTCCTTGAGGCCGAGGCTGCCCCATGTGGAGTGGAAATGCTAAGCTGAATGCAGGTTGGGTGTGAGCTGGCACTTCACCACTAAAGGAAAAGCAGCGTGTGTAGTCTCGACAGCTGACGGTGGTTAGAGCAATGGGCTGAACGGGCCAGTCCATCGCCTGAAACCCCAGTGCTGTGGGAAGCCGGGCAGATTCCTGCGGAAGGAGAGCGAGCTGGGATGGAGCCACATGTAAGTCTGCTCACCTCCGATGCTGCACCTTTTTAACTGTTCCCCGATCTCACCCACAAAGTCGGTATAAACTTTCAGCCCACTGCTCAGAACTATTTATTCACCGAAGAAGTAACTTATTTTCGCTCACCCAGTGATTTGCACTCTTTGTACTACTATACAGTTTCCTCCAGAAACACGGCCCTGATTCAGGTCAGCATTGGAGAACGAAAGACTCTGGGAAGACGGGGGTGAGAGTCGGCCTCTGGGAGGGAACGTCGCGCGTCTTCTTTATCATGCCTGTGGCGTGGGGCCTGCGAGGGGCGTGTCCAGTGCTGTCTCTAACTGCTCCTTGTGGGGCTGTGATGATTCTGCTTTGACACATCCTAGGTTTGGATGAAGTGGAGAACACAGAGGTAAAGAACTGGTCCCACCCGGAAGCTCAGAGCTCAGTGGAACCCATAGTGGGGACAGTTCTGTGCTGGGGGCTGTTTCTTTAAAGTTCTCTAACCCCTTCAGATGTATCTAACCCTCACTCTTCTGCAGTCCTCAGCCTAACAGTTTTAAGTGCGAACTCCTGTGCCCCGTGGTCTCCACGCGTCCTCACCCCCCCCCCCCCCCCCCCCGCAGCAGCAGGAGCCAGGAGTGCCAGCCGGGTGTGCGGCCTCCAGGTAGTTAAATTGCACTCATCTCATGAGATAGATGCAGAGAGAATGCTGTTTTAGTCAGCAGGTGCCAACTGAAAGTCGCCTTTTTGAAATCTTGGCCCTTGCATCTGTCCGTGGAACCAGCCCTATGCCCCGTGGCCTCACATCTAACTGGAGAGCTCAGAGCTCCTGCATCTGCTCGCCTGAGCCAACAGACTGAGTGGCCTGGCGCCCGGCTCTCAGTCAGATCTTGCTCCTCCCACGACCCAGAGCCACGTGGGGGCGATTCTCAGGCGTGCCCCGCTGCCACCGTTAGCTGCCACCACAGCTGACAAGTCACCTCCTGTATCTGGGCCGGAGCTATGAGCTCCACAAAATGAAGTGTTCCACCCCAAACGCATTCTTGAGAAGAATCCAGAAAGGAATGTCCTGTGAGCTCCAAGCACACTTTCCTGTGAATGGGTTTTGTGCAGATGAAGTGGATTAAGAATGTGTTTTTCTTTTACTGTGAAAAAAGCAGGTCCCCCGCAAGGTTGCCTTCACCTAGGACGCTGCGATTGCTAGGAAGTGAGTGGGGGTGGGGAATGCCTCTCCAGGGCCTGAGACTCTAAGAAGGCTTGAAGACAGCATGACCATTAGCCGGTGCTGACTGCCCACCGGGGTGAGGACTGGAAAGGCTGGCTTCGCTCCTGGGTGGGGCTGGTACCTCCAGAAGAGTCTGTCTGCCAAGAGCAGCACCTGCTAGGGCAGCAGCCACCTCAACTGAAGGGACAGGATGGGACACACCCCTGGCAAACACACTCTCAGCCATGGCCCAGGTGCGCAGTGTCAGCCCCACACCTGGAATTCATAGAAATGCCCCAGCCCTGTATCCCTGGGTGGGGCCCAAGCTGGGGGAGTGGGGGGAAGGGGAAAGGGACGCCTAATTGCCCAGGAGACTCTTAAACTTCTATAGGGAAGAGTGGGGCCGAATGGAACCCACCTGTCCTGTAACATACCTGAGCAGGTAGCATCTGTGGGTTTTGTGTAAGCTCTTAAACAAAGGCTCTTATTTCTCATGTCTTTTCCTCTCCGCCCCGTGAGCCAGCCCAGGACTCTAGAGACAACATGGGAAGAAGTCTAAAGGGTCACATAGCATCTCTGGTGTTTCCTCCACGGCAGGCTCCGTGCAAGGTATTTGACTCACGACACCCTTGCGAGGTGGGCACAACAGCGCCCACTTCTCGGGTGTGGGAAACGTCAGAGAGGACAATTGCCTTGCACAGCCGTGCTTCAGACCCTTTGCCTGGCTTGCTCTTCTCACTGTACCTCCCTGCCTCACCATCCAGTGTACTTTAAATGTAAAAGGGCATGGGAGAGTGAGTTTAAAGTGTGTTATCTTTTTGTAAAAGAACCTTAATGTTATTAAGCAATAACTAAACTAATGACAGGAAGTGCAAAAAAACAAACAAAAAACCTATGTTGACTCCCCTTTTGAAAAAGTCCTTTCAGGTTTGTCATTACATGTATTTCTTAGACACATGTAGTCATCATTAAGAAAATAGTGCTGGTTCATGCTGAGCACGGAGCATGTAGGTACGTGGCTTTGGGGTAGGAGGTGTAAGGCGATGAGCGGGGTTTGGGACACACAGCCAGACTTAGCCGTCCACCTGAGGGCCACTCTGTCTTGTTCCCTCGCTAAGGCTGTGGCTCCCACATTTTGGAGGCACACTTTTGTAAATATTATCCGAGTCGGGAACATATTCAGTTGAATGTCTGAAATGCTGACAAATCTTCCGGCTTTGACAAAAGTTTATTTTCAGAAGCAGCTAAGTCCTTTAGAGCAAAATTGCTGAGTGGATAGCTTCATCAAAGCTGGCTGGCAGCATTGGGGTCAGAAATGACGATGGGATTATTGAGTTCTTGAGGAGGTGACTGTGAAAGTTGGCCCAGAGGGAGGCAGCCTCTTTTCTTTACAAGGCTGGATGGTTGCCCAAGAAAATGTCTTTGAAGGGTATTTATTCAGATGGGAACGTGCCCAGGCAGACACAGTAGGGTCTTGCACGTGGCCTTTGGGGGCCTCTATTAAGCCATCTTGCCCACTGGTGAAGGGCCCAGGTCCCCTGAAGCTCTATGAACTTTGCTTCTGGCTTAGTTTAGCCTAACACACCCACAACTTGGGTTTGACCCATAGTTCTGAGATTCTTACACTGATCTTAAACCTAAAGCAAGTCTTTGGAAAGAGGGAGAATTGCAGTCTTTTGCATCTTATTTAACACTACCCTACTGTCAGAGATTTTTTTTTTTGGTGTGTGTGTGTATGTGAAAACTGTTGTGGGGGTTAGAAGGGACATTTTATTTCACTCTGGGGTTCTTGTGTTTGGGTTTGAAAAAGGATATTCGGTTTTGTAGAGTCGGCTTTTACAGTGTGTGTTCTTTTCTCCAATCCCCAGAGAAGGAAACTCTGGTTAAAATACTAGGAGCATTAAAGTATTAAATGGCAGTTAATCCATTGTGCTAAAATATCTTTTCAGTAGTGTTTCTTTGGTGTAAACTGCTCACAGAAAAACCTGTGAAACCAAAGGGACAGTATGGGTCTGAAAAGAGACAGATCTTAGACTGGCTCTGTCTCCTGGGTATCTGTGAAGAGGATGCATTAGATCTGGTTTTATTGTTGTTTTTTGGGCCCATCTAAGGCATTAGATGCAGAATTATTGGGTAGGAAGGATGGGACCACCCAGGGAAGGGATGGATGCAGTCTCCCTGTGAAACTAACCCACTTATCTTCCTCTATTGCCTGGGTTACAAAAAAGGTTTTTCAACCTGGGTTGTTGTGAGGTTTTTTAATGTTTGTGTTGCTGGATTTGTGGTGAAATGAAGCATGTGGCTGGAATCTGAACTGTTTGAGTCACATCCTGGATCTCTCTTTGCAAACCTTGACACCTTAGTCCCCAATGGATTGTGTTAAATCCATTATGAGGATGTTATTTAAAATTGTATTATAACTGCAACCTCCACTAATTATTCAGTACTGTAGCAGCAAAGTATTATTTGTAAGAATTCGGTTATTTTTATACTTATACCCACTATAAGTCTGGCGTTCTAGTCAGTAAAATGTTGCAATAAAATAAATATCATTTTCATTGTGTGTTTTTCTCGTAAAAGCAAGCAAACGAGGCAGAGCACAGCAAATAGTTTTTCCTGAGGGCATCAGGTAAACCATGGCGCTCTTGTGGTGAGCCCCTGCACAGGGAACCTTACACGGGAACTCTCACATGGCAGATGTCGGGACTCGGTATTTCTGTATCCTCCATGCGCATCTCCGTGAGGAGACACACTTCTGATGATGGATGGATGGACGACGGACAGATTGGCCTAATGATAAAACGCCTGGTTCAGGTATAAAACCTGCCGTTGTTTACTTTCCTTTCTATGGGTTGAGAGTGTGAGTAACCAATTCAGACCCTGAAAACTTCCACTTGAGCTTCTCCCACTGCCACTCCAGGCCAATTCTGTATGTCCTGGAGGAGAAGGGGAAGAAAGCACCTCTGTGCTCTGTGGTGGAGACTCTGGGGAACGTTAAGGTGGGGGGCCATGGCCCTGACACTATGGTGGCCTATGAATGTGGCGGCCTGGCTAGATGTATGTTAATCAGTTGCTTTCTCGGGTGCCTTTCGTGGCAGGGGATGAATGAGCCCCTCAGATTCCGTCAGCTCTGTGACAGAAACCTGGCCCCAGGAGAGGCCGTTAGGGCAGCTTGGGCATAGCAGTGACCTTTGGGCAGATTAGGTTCAGACTGCGGCCCGTCAGACATCCTCGAATGGGGATGACCTGCATTCCTCTCCTGACCAGCCCCTCCCACTCCGCTTTCCTGCCCACATGGTAATCCCCAAGGGAGATCTTCACAGGAACGCAGTACTGACCCCTTTATTGTCCTGCCCAGCTCCGCCAGATACTATAAACATCACAGGTGCCAGGAATAAGTTATCTATGTTGCTTTTTATGGACCTCATAAAAGATTGCACAGTCAGAAGGTCTGGGCTCTGACAGCTGGTACAAGACCCTTTTCTAACAATTTCTAACAACCTGGCTGTTTTCCCAGGTTGTGATGTCAGGCCTAAGAGTCTGCTCAGCTCTCTGAGTATCCTAGTCAGTGAAGTGGGGACAACAAACTACTAAGAACACATATTGGTTCTCTTCACTGGGGCCCTCTTGTCACACAAGAAAACAGACGAAAGTAGGATGAGGATGTCACGTCAATGCTGATTCACCAGGAACTGGTCCTGAAGACCTTGGATGTGATTCAACTTCTTGGAAATCACAGGCATTTGGTGTTGGAAGGCAGAATTGCCAGCAGTGGGTACTGACCTGAGCATGATAAGAAAAATGATATGTCAAAAGTGACCCTTAGGCCGGCTGGTGTGGCTCAGTGGTTGAATGTTGACCTATGGGCACATGCCTGGGTTGTGGGCTCAATCTCCAGTAGGGGGCATGCAGGAAGCAGCCCATCAATGATTCTCATCATGGATGTTTCTACCTCTCCCTTTCCCTTCCTCTCTGAAATTGATAAAAATATATTTTTTAAAAAGTGACCCTTAGACTGAGAGGAAGTAGGCTATTCAGGATTTTGAAGAGGATGCCTCTAGAGCAACCATGTCAAATTCAAAGGCTAACACGGGCCAAATAAATAAGGTTTAAGTTTATGTGGGTCACAAAAGAACAAAAGCTTCAATTTTCATAGAAATGTAGGTTTATTTAGATAGAGACATGCTGAATACAAAGGGCTGAAATAAATGAGTAATCGTTGACATAAAATAATGGAACATTTTAATAAAAATTCGTATTTTTTCTTGAACATTAACTTACCAGACACTGAATAACTGCACAAATTAATAAGCGTAATGCAAATTAAACTATTTTTCTTGTTCTCCGAAAGCAAAATATTTCCTGTTGCTCACACCAAACAAGTCAGTCCAAGACTAATGATGTAGCAATCGGCTGCTAAAATATTCACTGCTAGTATTAGTGGAGAGTAATGGTGCACCTGTGCGTAAGGGAAATGAATGCAACATGATTATAGTAATCAGTCATTAGCAAACATTGTAGTTCATTATTAATAATAATTATGTATACCAGGATATTGTAAAAATTAAGTTATGAAATTTTTATTTAAATGTTTCTTACGTACTGTTATATTGGCTGGCCCATAAAAACATTCGTTGTGGGCCACGAGTTTGACATGCTTGCTCTAGAGCAGTGGTTCTCAACCTTCTGGCCCTTTAAATACAGTTCTTCATGTTGTGACCCAACCATAAAATTATTTTCATTGCTACTTCATAACTGTAATGTTACTACTGTTATGAATTGTAATGTAAATATCTGATATGCAGGATGGTCTTAGGCGATCCCTGTGAAAGGGTTGTTCGACCGCCAAAGTGGTCGCGACCCACAGGTTGAGAACCGCTGCTCTAGAGGAAGAAGACCCTGTGCAAATGAAGTGACGTGTCCCAGCACCATCTTTCTCTGTGGTAAGCATCAGTACTAAAGGTAGAACTACTAGTGATACAAGTGGAGATGAGATATGTTTCAAGACATTAGAGAGGAGACCTTTTGCTTTAAACAATATGAAGTACAAATTAAAACAACATTAGGAAACATAAAATATGGAATCCTGGGAAGAGATCTTCGCCATCATTTATTCCAACCACCCTTAAGAAGCACTTAAGCCGAAACCGGTTTGGCTCAGTGGATAGAGCGTCGGCCTGCGGACTGAAGGGTCCCGGGTTTGATTCCGGTCAAGGGCATGTGCCTGGGTTGTGGGCATATACCCAGTGGGAGATGTGCAGGAGGCAGCTGATCAATGTTTCTCTCTCATCGATGTTTCTAACTATCTCTCTCCCTTCCTCTCTGTAAAAAATCAATAATATATATATATATTTATTTATTTATTTATTTTTTTAAAGAAGCACTTAAATTCCCTCTCATCTGAGTAGCTGTCCCAGCAACAGGGAGCTCATTTGCTTTGAGGAAGCTTCCTGCTTAACTCAATAACTCCAGCTACTAGAAAGTTCTTTCGTACTTCCAACCCAGTTATTTCCTGCTTCTTGGATAAGAGTCCTCCTGGGAGGGTCAAAGTGCTTGAAGAGAATGGAAGTACTAGATTTAGGTTAGGGCTATATGGGGACAGATTTGAGCAAAGCTAACAGGAGAGGAGAGAGGTGAGGCTGGGACAGAAGGTCTGTATGGGGGCAGTGGGCCCAGGTGCAGACAGTCACTGCGATAAGGGACACACGTTCTTCTGCTCTGGGCGAGCCGCAAGCAGCTTCCCAGGGACACTTGAAAAAGGTGTGAGGGGAAAGAAGTCCTTGCCCACCTCTTCGACCTTCTCCCCAGCCATCCTGCGGGCATAGTGGGGGACAGCCAAAGCTGACAAGGTGTAATGGAATGGGAAAGATGACCCTGGCCATTCACACAGGCTTTCTGGATTCACATCCCCACTTACTAGCTCTGTGTGACCCTGGGCAATTTTTTCTCTCTCTTTTTAATTTCTCATGTGTAATAATACAGAATCTCCCTCTTAGAGTTGTCATGAGAATGAGATGAGTCAATGTCTATACAACACTTACACCAGCACTTGACATGTAATAAGAGCTGTGTGTTTGTTAAAGGGAAAACATTTTGGAGTTCAAACTAAAGGAACCATTTCTGTAGCCACGTTTCTGTAGACAATTTCATGTACTGTTGTGTTTCTATTTTAATTATATTCCTGACAACCTCCTAAACGATGAAACAAGTTGAGAAGCACATTATAATGCAAGAGGCATTATAATGAAAGTCACAAAAAGGTAAATCTTGAAAGTTCTCACCACAAAAAAAAAAAAAATTTATGTGAGGTGATGGATGTTAACTAAACTTATTGTAGTAATTATTTCACTATATAAACACCTATCAAACCATTATGTTGTATACCTAAAACTAATATGATGTTATATGTCAACTAGTGCCCCGGTGCACGGATTTGCGCACATCGAAAGGAAATTAATTAGAAGGTGGCAGGCAGGGTGGGACTGAGCAAGATGGGGCCAGACACGCCCTGGAGCCAACCTTCCGAGGTCCCTCCCCGGCTGGCCACACCTGGGGTGGCACCACGGCTCCGAGGGCATCTGTGGAGTGAGTGGGGTCTCTCCGGCAGGTGGGGGTCCCTTGGCCTGGCCTGTGGGGGTCAGGTCGAAACCGGTTCTACATTACCCCCCAAGGGGTCCCGGATTGTGAGAGAGTGGTTCTTGGGTGATGCACCCCGGAATCGGGTTCCCTCCTCTCTGGCTCTGGGGTGCATCACCCGATTATCTCCACTACCAACTCACCGCAGCTCAGCAGCTCCTGTGTTGAGTGTCTACCTCCTGGTGGTCAGTATGCATCATACCTACCAGCTGGTCGGAAGGTCAAACGGTCACTTAGCCTTTTATATATATATTAGAAGCCCGTTGCATGAAGATTCGTGCAATAGGCCTTCCTTCCCCTGGCTGCGAGCACCGGTTTTCCTCCAGCACCCGGGAGCCAGGCCTTTGGTCTGGCTTCAGCAGAGAAGCCAAGCCTTGAGACTAGGCTTCTTCCCTCCGGCCGCAGCGAGGCTTGACTTCTCTGCTGCAGTCTTCAGTCTTCAGTCTTCAGTCTTCACTCCATGCCTACGTATGCAAATTAACCGCCATCTTTGTTTGACTAATTTGCATAGTCATTCTGATTGGCTGGTGGGCGTAGCAGAGTGACACCAATTTACATGTTTCTCTTTTATTAGTGTAGATAGATTATATAACATTTGGGGGAGGGAATACAAGAGGAAGAAAGCAGGTGGTAAGGGTTGTAAGGAGGGGAGGAGAGAACGTCTGAAATGGCTGGTTAGGAACATGGGAGGAAGCTGGTCAGGACATGGAGTATATTGGACACAGGCTGAGAACAGTGGGGTTGTGGTAGCAGCAATCCCCACATTAAATCATTTTACTCTAGCAGGGCTCAGCAGTGGGTATTAGAGCAGAGAAGGGGTCAATGGATTGACCCAAAATTGAGGTTTTGTTTGGAAGGTGGCACCAGCACGAGAGGGTTCTGATGGACTTGACTGCAAGCCTCTGGGCCTCGAGGACTTGACCATGAGCCTATGGGTCTGGACTTAGAAGATGGGAGGGTTAGGTGAAAATGAAGAGCCAACAAAGGTTAATATCTTTCATCCAAACATTTACC